TTGGTGCCAGAAAGTACTGAAAATTCAGTCACCGAAGTATTTTGTATGCTATATCCTAGTCCTTGGAATTCCAAAGTGCTACCGTTGTATTGTCCGTCGGTGAAAATGAAGGAAAATGGGTCAAATGAGTAAAGTCCATCACGGGATGAAGCTACATAAAGGCCTTGGCTTCGACCAACAGTTGGAGAATTGATGCTGATGCTTTCTGTAAAGGGAGAATCATTAACATAAATGGTTCCAAATTCGGTGGGAGTTCTCGGCCTACCAGGGGCGCCGGCAACTGCGACAGTGGTGGCATTTGGTCCGCCTGAAAACAGTTGAAGGTACACAGTAATCTTTGTTTCCTTTCCACCGCAGCAATAATCACGGTCACGATGATTAGCTTCTGAACAAACAAAGATTGCTACTAATAGCAAAAGGGAAATTTGGATGGATGTTAAAGCTGAACCTTTTGCCATTTTGTATGTTGAAAGGCTTGCTGAAAAACAAAGAAGGAAGAAACAAATTAGTTAGATGGTGAAGATAATGTTCAATGACCATATTTATAGGATGGAGTCAAGGAGTTAGGTATAGCACAAAAAGTTTTAAAAGACAATTAAACATCAATGGGTGGCCATCTATCACAATAGGTTTGTGTAGAATGGTGTGGTGTAATCAGCATATATACATTCATAGTTCATAGCCAAGAATTTCTTTTCATATATAATGGGATAATGGAAAACCTTGTTAACATGAAACACATTTACCTAACAAAAATGAAACACATTTAATAAGGTTCTGGAAAAGGATTAACTCCACTTTGCATTTTCAAACTTGTACCACTTTAACAAGGTTCCGAACTTGTGCTTAGCAGATAAATCAATGTCGACTTTTGATTTTTCTGCATATAAATGGTTTAAATGAAATGAGATTACATTTCTGAGAGTTAGGTAGAGCATAAAAAGTTTTAAGAGAGAATTAAAAATCAATGGGTGGCCACCTATCACAATAGGTTTGAGTAGAATGGTGCGATATACTCAGTAGATATATCATTCAAAGTTGATAGCCAAGAATTTCTTTTAGGGATGGCAACTAGGTCGGATGATCACGGGCTAATGGGCCGGGGAGGGGATTTTTTCCGCCGTTAAAAAATGGGGCAGGGGGCAAGGGAGTAAACCCCCGCCTCACCACCCATTAAAAAAATTAAATCTATATATGTATATATTCATATATAATATTTAATTTAATTTGTTACAAATATATAATAATGATATTATTAGTTATAAATATTATATAATGCATATTAGTATTTGTAATATAAATGATTAGTATTTGTAATATAGTTGATATTATCAAATACTAATAATAGTACATGTCTACTAATAGAAATTATTAATTAGTTATATTAAATCTACTAATACAATTATACTAAATTCGTAATTACACTTAACACAATAACACTTTTTTCTCAGAAAAAAAAAACACAATAATGACTTAATGATTGTAGTTTTCTCAAAAGCGAAAACTTGACTATTTTAGTTATATTTGTTTCATCATGTTGGATTGTATTCAAATAACTTTTGTTTAATTGTTTTTTATGGGTTTCAATTATGAAATTACAATGGATAATGACTTGGTCATATGTTGGCATTTAAGTATTTGATTCTTTGCTCAAATTTGACTACAATGAAATTATATAACAAATTTTTATTAGCCCGACGGGTGCTTCCGTGGGGGTAGCGGGGACGGGTAGGAGGACTGAGGGGCAAGGGAAATTCCCCCCGCCCTACTGCCATTCCTAATTTCTTTTGCTATATAGTGTAATACTGGAAAACCTTGAAAACCTGAAACACATTTACCCCAAAAAAATGAAATACAGTTTACAAGGTTCTGGAAAATGATTAACTCAACTTTGCATCTTTGAATTTGTACCACTTTAACAGGATTCCAAACTTATACTCAGCAGATAAATCGAACTTGACTTTTGATTTTTCTATAGATGAATGGTTTAAATGAAATAGGATTGCATTTCAAAGAGTCAGGTAGAGATTAAAAGGTTTTAAAAGAGAATTAAACCTCAATGGGTGGCCACTTATCACAGTAGGTTTGTGTAGAATGGTGTGGTATATGTGACAGCCCCACTTTCCCCTAAGGCGAACCAAAGGGGTTAGCGGGCTGCCTGCCTATCTCTCGCCAGGACTAACGGTGCAGTTTAAAGCGATCTATTGCGTTCCGGAACTTATAACGCGCGTAAACAAGTCAAAATGTCCAAAATAACCCAAAGTAAAAAAATGAAATCCGGAGTCGGCCATGAATAGTAACCGACCCGTCAGAACCCAGTCAAACATCAAAATACATATACAACATAACATTTAGTATTTACAAGCCAAAATGGCATACAAAAGTGATACAAAAGTTACTACATGTATGGTTTGCCAAAATCCAAAGTGAAACGGCCCTAAAGGTACATTTAGGGTTTCGATTCATAAGCTATACAAAAGAGACATTCATTTAGCTCATTCGGCAACCAACTAGCAAGAATCATTCCAAAAGTAGTCATATGCCTGTAAGGAAAACAAAAGGAACGGTGTGAGCTAATTGCCCAGTAAGATACTATCACTTAAGCAACCAAGATCACATAAGCATAACCTTCATTCCAATTACTTTATTAAGAAGTAAAACAAATCGGTAAAAGGATACGGACGGCTCTCAAGAGCCCATTTCCACGCTTACATTCTTGATCGAACCTCATTGACCCTCCGTCAATGTTTAAGAATAACCAACCGTAGACTTCACTTCACTTCCATTCTTTCCACCCAACATACCCCTACCGGGCCCGCACTCCAAACAGTAGCCATTTGGTAATACTCGAGTATACCGGAATCGAGAGTCTCACTACTACAAGATTCCATATAACAGTCCCCATGGCTCGTCAATTTTCACGACCAAGCCCTCGCCGGCTCGATTCAATTGACTACCAACGGGGTTGAGCTCAGTAGTAACAGTAAGGCCGTTGGATACTCGTCCAAACGACACCAAATCAGTTTTCCATGAATGGAATTTAGTATTTCATGTATCATTCAGTCATTACAGTGAAACAGTAGACAATCCTCAACAATATCAAAGGATGTGAGGGCGATCAAGTACACCCTCACTTTAATCAGTTTCAACAGTGCAAATAAGCCTTCAAGGCGTTAATTTCAATATAATAAAGCCACATTGTAAACAAACAAGTGAGTAGTATACTCACATAGCAAGCAAGTGGAATATCGTGAACTTCTGCCCAAAAGGCGTCTTTAATTACCGTCACGCCCTAAAACATGCAAACAAGTACAATGAGACTCGATAACGAGTCATAAACCAATGCCAAATACTCCCAAAATAGGGTTCCATACGCATACATAAGCATTAGAGGAAATCAGAAAAATCCGGAAATGCAATTGGACTTCAATTAAAAAAACAGTTTTTGACGTCATTATGCGGTTTTAGCACCAACGCACTACAATTATCGGATGGGGGTGTAAGACCCACCGTTTCGAAGCTAAGAGACAGGGATACAATGTTTCAGAAGGCGATTTTGTCCAGTTTTGAGTGTAACAAGGTCAAAAATGCATTATACTATACCAGAACCGGAAAAACAGATTCACAAAACGCATTCTGCTGCAAACAGCATAACTCAGCCTAATTAAGTCCAAATCCAGAAATTCCAAAACCATCTGAAAGCTAAGAAACAGGGATAAATTTCATCAGAAGGCCTGAACAGCCAATTAGGAAGCAATTCCAGCCAAAACAACCAATTACAGGCGCAATTCTTACATTCGGGTAAAACCAGAACAGCAATAGTAATTTCGACTTTTCTCATTCTACACTACTCCGATTGACCTGAAATTTTGTAGGCACCTCTAAAATGTCATTCCCTACAACTTTCATGTTTTAAACCAAGGCCAATTCGGCCTCTAACTAGGAGCTAAAAATTCGGGCAGAATGCTCCCTCAAGAACCCTAATTTTCTGAAATTTCTTCCAAACCAGAAATTGGTTGCAATTAATCATTTTTTCCACCTCCTAGAGTCATTATATACCATTTCTAATCATCATAGATAGCCACACAATCATGCTCATATTAAAACAGAAAAAAATCTCCAAAAATAATAAAACTTCATCACTTCAACCACAAATCAAGAAATAACCCATAAACTTGCATCTCATACTACCACTAAGCATGATTTAAGCATCAATTAAGGGAGGAGGGTGGTTCTTCACAACTTACCTTAAAACAAGAGAGAGAGAGCTATTGGACACCTTAACTTTCCAAATAACTTCACACAACAACTCACCAACACCTCCTTAAGTGGTTTTATGGAGCAAAATCAAGGTTGGATGGTTGGTTTTGATGATTTGGAACAAACTTGAAGAGTTTTCTTCCTTGTGCTTAGAGTAAGAGAGAGAGAAAGAGAGAATGAGAGGGCCGGCCACCATGGAGGATTTTTTGATGATTTTTGGGTAATTTTTAAGCTATTTTAACCAAATTGGTAAAAGGGTGAATAGTGTTCAAAAAGGTCAAACCACTCCTATGGTGACACTTGTCACCTTTTAATAAATACTTACCTACCTTGTCTCTCTTATACCAATCCACTTAGCACCCTCTACTTATCTCTTAACACCCGGTAAATTAATTCCAATATTCAAAACTTAACCTAGTTGGCCGAAATTTTCCGAACTTTTCGCACTAGTGGGTCCCACGTCCGGTATACACTCTTAATTTTCCAAAACCTATTCGATACTAGAAAAATCATCCAAAAACTATATCTGCTCATTAAAAATATCTAGAAAATTTCCCTACTAAAGAAAAAGCAGAAAACAAGCCATTAAATAAATAAAACCCTAGAAAAAAAATGAGAAAATTTCGGGTTCTCACAGTATACACGGTAGATATATCATTCAAAGTTCATAGTCAAGAATTTCTTTTGTTATATAGTGGAATAATGAAAAACCTTGAAGTCTTGAAACACTTTTGCCTAAAAAGAAATAAAAAGCAATGAAACACGTTTGACAAGGTTCTGAAAAAAAGAATTAAATCCACTTTGCACCTTTGAACTTCTATCACTTTAATAAGGTTAACTTACACTTAATAGCTAAATCAATCTTGGCTTTTGATTTTTGTGCGTATAAATGGTTTGAATGAAATAGGATTACATTTCTAAGAGTTAGGTAGAGCATAAAAAGTTTTAAGAGAGAATTAAATGCCAATGGGTGGTCACCTATCAAAATAGGTTTGTATAGAATGGTATACTCAGCAAATATATCATTCAAAGTTGATAGTCAAGAATTTCATCTACTGTAAAAATAATAAAAAGCTCAAACGTTGACTTTCCTGATAATATGATGCTCCATCCAATCCACATATGTTTATCTACGATTCAGCAGTAAATTTGATGAAGAGCTCAAAAGTTGACTTTCCTGATAACATGGTACTCCATT